CTCCTGTTTCTCTAGTTCAGCTCTTTGGAGGTATGTAGAAAGTCCAAAGAGTGAAGGGTCAAGCACAAGCTGATGGCTTGTTTTTCGCACCCCATTCCAGCTGTAAAGTGAAAGTGCTCTGTTGCCTGCATGGCTGACAATACCTTTTACAGTGTGGGCAGTGTGGTGCAACATAAAAAATTGCAACTATTTTTTTTTATTCTTTGGGTCCTCTGCTTTCAGAAAATATATAATTTTCTGGGGCCAAAAATGGAGAGCTTTGCATGTAAAAAAAACCCCAAAAAAATGCTCTGGTCTCTTCAAAGATAAGTGTTGGATTGTTTTTTTTTTTTTTTTTTTTATCCTACTTACCTAGGTGGATGCAGCATTGGTCTCCTGCCAGATCACGTGATCGCTGAGTTCTCACAGCCGCTCTGAGCAAAGAGTAGTGACTGTCAGTCACCGGTGTCTGCTCTGCCCAACTCCACCCCACCCCCCTTTAAAGTTGGAATCTTTCCCCAGCCTGGACCAGCTAAGTGACGTCAGCCGACAGCGGGCTTTAGTTGAAAACGAGTCACAGCAGTGCAGAACAAACTGCACTCCTATGATCCACAGGAGAAATACAGCCAAAAGAGCTTTGGCTGTACGTTTTCCTTTTTAAAGCGGAGCTCCACCCAAAAGGGGAAGTTCCGCTTTAAGGACTGCTCCCCATTAAGGATTGGCACCTTTGGGAGGCAGGGGGAGGGGGGGAGCGGGTACCCGAATTTGACAGGTACCTGCTCCCACTTCTGGTCCGATCGCCTAGGTGTTCAGAAACGGAAGGTGTCCTCTCTCCCTGTAGTCTTTTGGGATACGTGACAGGTCCCAGAAGACTAGAGGACCATTCATGAAGCGCAGTGCTACTCGCACATGTGCAGTGGGTACCGGCTGTGAAAAGCCGCAAGCTATCACAGCCAGGTGCCCACACTGAAGATGCCAGTGCCTGGAATACAGCACAGCCGGTGAAACGGGCTGCGGGGGACACACCACGGGACCGAGGGGCAGGTAAGTGGCTGTTTTTTAAAAGTCAGCAGCTACAGTTTTTGTAGGTGCTGACTTTTATTTTTTGACAGGGTGAGTGGAACTCCGCTTTAAGGCTCCATGCACACTGGACTTTTTAATAACGTTGGTAACGTTAGCTGTGTAAAGTCGCATCAAAAATGCAAGTTTTTCAGCGTTTTTGCATTAGCACTCACCCGTGTTTTTCCGCATTTGTGTTTTTTTAGTATTTTTTAGTGGTTTTTTTTTTTACACAAAAAAAATAAATACAATTTTTGCAAAAAAAAAAAACGCCCATAAACACTGGTTTGCCGCGTTTTACAGCGTTAGAGCATTTTTACAGCTAAAAAACTCCTCTAGAAACCCACTAGTTCTAGTTTTTCTACGCCCCTACCAAAAAACACTGATTAAACCCTCTGTGTGCATGGACACATAGGATAACATGCTGGGGGGTTTAGTGGCTGTAAAAAAAAAAAAAGGCCAAAAGCCAAAAAACAGCAGCTGTAAAAATGTCCAGTGTGCAGGGGACTAATTTCCCCGCCAGGGGCGGACTGACAACTCATGGGGCCCCTGGCAATAGGGGATCATGGGGCCCCTGTCCTTGCCCAAACTCAAAAAAGCCTATGAAAAAGGTACCAAGGGCATCTCATGTGGCCCCCTACTGACCCCGGGCCCTCGGGCAGTGCCCGAGTTTCCAAATGGTCAGTCCGCCCCTGTCCCCCGCTGATTGCAGAGTGTGGGCAACCCTTAGGTAACCTACAAGGGACAGGTAAGTGGCTGTTTTTTAAAAGTCAACAGCTACAGTTTTTGTAGCTGTTGACTTTTATTTTTTGACAGAGTGAGTGGAACTCCGCTTTTAAGTCGGCCTTTCTCAGCCAGGGTTCCATGGAACCCTGGGGTTCCTCCCGAGGTTGCTAGAGGATCCCTGAGCAATGACCCATCTCAAATAAGTTCCCAGTGACACTATCTTTTTAGCTATCTTCCCAATAAAAAAAAGTTTACTTTTGTTGATGGAATTGGTTTAGTGTATGCATTAAGCGAAAGCTGTGATAGTGTGACATCAATATATAGTGATATGTGTTATGTTACAGATCTCTGAGGTAACATCTGTTTGTCACAATGGTAATGATCCATGGTTTGCTCAAGTATAATTTATTGTAGTTCATACATCTGTAATTTCATAATGTGAATCTAAGGGGCAACTGTTTACCATTTTCTTTAGCCACTTGAAGACCAGGCCTATTCTGACATTTTTGTTTACATGTAAAAATATGTATTTTTCGTTAGAACCCCTCAACATATGTAACTTTTTAAGCAGAGGTCCTAGAGAATAAAATGGTGGGTGTTGCATTTTTTTTAAAGTCACAAAGTATTCACGCAGCAGTTTTTCAAATGCAATTCTTGTGGAAAAAGTTAGAATTCTAGTGCACACAAACATAATAAAATACCCAATTTTTTTGTAAAATGTAAAAGATATTACGCCAAGTAAATAGACCCCCAACATGTCACACTGTAAAATTGCACACACCCATGGAATGGCAACACGCTACGTACATTAAATTATCCATAGGTGACGCTTTAAAAGTCTTTACAGGTTTACCACTTTAGATTTACACAAGAGGTCTGGTGCTATTATTATTGCTCTCCATCTGATGTTTGCAGCGATACCTATATATATATATACACATTTTTTCTTTCATCAACTTTATTGCTATTACAAGGGATGAACAGCATTGAACACTTGATCTCGCCTCTGCCCTTAAAGCATTGGATCAAACCAAGATTGGTTCTGATGCTTTTCCTAAGGCAGTAATGGTTTGTTTACAACTGGCAAATGATGAAATGCTCATTGTTTCCGGTTTCTTAGACCATAGAGATGATCAGGGATGTTTCGGTCCTTGATCAACTCTATGGTGAGCTGGCTCCCCGGGAGGGGGGGGACATCCTTCCGCTGCCAGTAAAGGCGATTCAGCGGCTTCCAATTTGATGCTAGGATTGCTTTTACAAAAAAAAAAAAAGTGCTCCACCAGCTGGAAAGAACAATGCCAGAATGATGCCTGTAGCTGCAGGTATCATTCCGGTATAACCACTCAAACTCCCGTGACAGATACGTGACGTATCTGTCACGGGAGTTTGAGTGGTTATACCGGAATGATACCTGCAGCTACAGGCATCATTCTGGCATTGTTCACGGGTGCTGAAGTGGTTAAGGGCTGGTTCACACCAGATGTTTTCTAGTCTGTTTTTAAAAAGGCATCTGAGATGCATGTGCAATAATTGACATGTGTTCCTTTGCCCCTAATTCACCCCAGTGTGGTCAGTTCCAGTTTTCAACAAAAGTACAACTTGCTGCATTTTTTTCATCTGGAACACACCAAAATGCACATAAGAAACCATTGTCCTAAGATTTTTCAAAATTAAAGAAAAAAGAGGGAAAAATGCACTGGAATGCATTCAAAAGTAAAACGCACCCGGAACGCTGGTGAACCAGCCCTTGATCACCTTTCCTATTCTATCCTGTACCCAGAGGGACTGATCACAACAGAACAAAAGAAACAAAGATTTCATGCTTAAAGCAATTAGGTTAGTTTTAGAATTTTGTCATTTTATTGGAAATGTTAAACTGTTTGTAAGGGCCGATCATATCTATCTATGTAGAGGTACCCTCACACAAACCTGCCCGTACTCATATCAACTTTCCTGACTAAGATCATACCCACTCCATTGTCAATGTATTTACATTTGCTATTCATATGCACTGCTGCTTTCTTTCCCTTTTTCCCTATTGATTGTGCCACTTCTCAAGCCTTTCCTCATTTTACCACTTTGTTTATGTTCATTAGCTAAACTCTGTGCTAGTTGCAGAAGTAGGATAAAGAGTTATCTCAACACTGATGACGTGGACAAAATTACACGTGGCTACCTTCACCAAGTTACACATGGATACAAGTGCTGGCCTGTGAACATTGTACTAATGTAGTTTAACTTGTCTATTTCCATTCCAGAATAACGAGGGGCTGTAACACTTAAAGCGGAGTTCCACCTGGAAAAAAAAAAGTCAGCAACTACAAAAACTGTAGCTGCTGACTTTTAAAATACAGACACTTACCTGTCCCGGGGTCCAGCGGTGTCCTCCCCACCGCTGGTTTCACCATCATCTTCTCTCCCCCTGTGCCGGCACCTTCAGTGTGGGCACCCAGCTGTGACAGCTTGGGGCTCCACAGCTGGGTGCCCACTGCGCATGCGTGAGAACCGCTGCGCTTTGTGAATGGCCCCGTAGTCTTCTGGGACCTGTCACGTGTCCCAGAAGGCTACGGGCAGGGAGAGGGGGGAAGGAAGACTTCCGCTTTTGACATTTACGTCCTATTTTACCCATGAATAGAGCTTTCTTTCAGTGGTGTTTGATCGCCTGTACGTTTTTATTTTTTGCACTACAAAAAAAAGACTGACAATTATGAGAAAAAAAATATATATATTTGGCTTTTTGCTATTAAACATGCCCAGTTAAAAATAAAAAAAAAAATCTAATTTTGTCTTAAATTTAGGCCAAAATGTATTCTGCGACGTCTTTGCTAAAAAAAAAAAAAAAATCCCAATACGTGTTAATAATTGGTTTACGTGAAAGTTATAGCGTCTACAAATGGTGTATATATACTGGAGTTTTTTTTTTTTTTTTTATAATACTAGTAATGGCAGCGATCAGTGACTTATAACGGGACTGCGGCGGGCGTACTGACACTGGGGGGAACTGACTTGGTGTCACTGACATCCCCAGTGACACCAATACAGTGATCAGTGCTAATAAAAAGCACTGACATTTTACTAATGGCACTAGGCAGGAAGGGGTTAACATCTGGCGATCAAAGGGTTAACTGTGTGCTGTTTTATTGTAAGTTGTGTGTGTGCTTTCAACTGTAAGCACACTGCTTTGCATGGCTGTGCTATACAGAGCCATGCAAAACAGTGTGCAGGAGAGAACATACACTTCTCTCCCTCCATCGGTAATGCTCCTCGATCACCGGGTTGCCGGCGAGTAATCACCAGCCGGGACCTGGTGATTGACAGCCAAGGCCGTGAATAGCAACGCGAGAGGGCATGCATGCGGCTCGCGTGCCCTACCTGGAAATGCAAAATCACGTATATATACGTTATTTTGCACACCCGTGCCGCCCTGTAGCAGTATATCTGTTATATGGCGTACAGGAAGCAGTTAAGGGCCAGTTCACACTACATGCATTTTAGTGTGCTCTTTTTTTTAATCCAAAATGCACAGAAAGTAGATTGAGGTTGTCAGTGTCATAGTTCACATCAGTGCTTGCAGCTCCAGTACATTCCAGATGCAGAAAAAAAAAGTAGAACAGGTTGCATTTTTCCTGCACAGAACTGTACTGGAACATGGTAAAACACACTGGAACGCATGTATCCCTATTTAAATTGAAGAAAAAGAGATAGAGGATAAAATTACTGGAACGCATAATAAATGCACCAGAACGCGTCAAAAACGTGCATACAGAAATGCATCTGGACTGTTTCTGTCGTGTGAATCGGCCCTTAATGATGTGTAAAAGTCACATAAGAGCATCTAGCACAGTTGTTATAAAACAAATCTGAGTGCTTGGTGCAGAGATTGCTGCAAGGTGAATCATAGATCCTGTTGGTTTTCATTTGATGTAATATAATATAAAAACACAAAAATGGACAGTGTGTACGATTATTCAAGGTTAATAACATTAACATTTTTTAAAAATAAAACGTCTTGATTTTGAAGAGTAAATCTCCAAAATATAATTTGCATTCTGCACGACTATTGAACTACAGGCCTTTAGTAGAAATATGAAAGGTTTCTGTTTTGCATATAGTAGCCAAACATTCCACCCGGCCTCTGTTTTCTTTCTTGTGCAAATTTGAGAATGTAAATAAACGTCTGTGCTTTGGGCAGCATGAATATTATTGATTCTGTGTAGGAGGCTCAATGGAAAAGCAGCAGATACATATTTTGAAGTAGAATTGTCAGTTTATAATTCACAAACGTTATAAGTGATATGTATCGGTATACTAGTACCATTTCTACTTCTCGTTTGTGTAGCACAGACAATTCAGGACTCGCTGTGTATGCAGGGTTGCAGAAAAGTTATCAAGAGTCAGAGCTGTGTTACATTATTTGTGAATTGCAGCTTTATTCACCTTTTCCATGTCTGCATGCAAAAATTAAACAAACTTGTTTTGGGCCCTTGGCTGTGTTGTCACAGACAGCTTCCTCTTGCTATATGATTTTGATTTTTTTTTCTTTTCCTCCTAAACTGTAAGTGGCATCTAACTCTGCAGTTTTGTTATGCTTTCTGAATTAATTAGAATTTAAGTGGAACAGGATGGAGTTTTGTTTCTTTTAACATTCCTATACATCAGTTATAATTGTATCACATTGATAAGACACTAAATGCATATGAATAATCAGTAAATCTGACATTCACTGCAGGTCAATCTTCTAGGTTTGTGTTTCACCGCCAGCAAATATTTGGTTAAAGTCACATTGACTGCTTTATACCTGTGCTCCTTTAAGTATCCCCACTTTTTCATATACAGTAGAGCTTTACAAAAGCAAGAAATTCTCCCAGTGTCATTGCAGATGATTATCTACCCGAGGTCCTCACTTCAGCTTTCTCGTTATGCTATATTTGGACCATTGGTTTGGAATGTCAGAGGTGAGAAACAAGATATACACTCATAATAAATATATGTACGTACACAGGGGTTGTTTTACTAAAACTGGAGAGTGCAAAATCTAGTGCAGCTGTGCATGGTATCCAATCAGCTTCTAACTTCAGCTAGTTCAATTAACGCAGTGTTTCTCAACTCCAGTCCTCATGGACCCCCAACAGGTCATGTTTTCAGGATTTCCATTATTTTGCACAGGTGATTTGATCAGTTTCACTGCCTTAGTAATTACCACAGCTGTTTCATCTGAGGGAAATCCTGAAAACATGACCTGTTGGGGGTCCATGAGGACTGGAGTTGAGAAACACTGAATTAACGTGTTATTAAACCCAGGACCCTGCATTCACTATATCTGGTCTCTCACAGTACACACAACATGGAAGTTCAATTGGTTTAGTAAACATAAACTGCTGAATACCTTTTCTCATCAGCAGTTAGAGCAGTCTTGTGACTTCAGCAGAGTACTGGTTAAAGCTTGTAGGATGAATTTTTGCTCTAAAAGGATTTGAAACCTCTGACCCTCTGTCTGGATGGACAGTGCTGATTGCCCCTGTGCTGATCATATGCACTCTCCCAAGAAAAAAAAAAAACCTTTCTAGCAATACACACCACACTGAGCATGTGCATGTGACTACGGATTCAGTCTGTATCAGGAGGTCATTTCAAGAAGAGGAGGGGCAGAGAAGAAAGGATCAAACAGCTTTCTTACACAATGCAGAGGATTAAACCCCTTAGGTTCCACAGTGAATATAACAAGCATGCTTTACTGCATATACAGACTGATTTTACTGTTGTGGGTTTACTTTAATCTATGACAATAAAACCTGGAAGTTGATTGGTTTCTATGCAGAGCTTTACCAGATTTTTTTAGCATTTTCCAGTTTTAGTAAATTGACCCCTGTGTGTATGTGTATGTATATTTTATATCAGTATTTTTTTTTTTTTCATGTTACTTGGTAATGGCTTTGTTGCCCATCAACCTTTAAATGCCACTTTAACACCTGAATTTAAAACCCACACTGTTTTGCCCTGGCATCTCGTTTTCGTCATATTTTTAGTTACTATGAGACCCTTATTTCACTGTGACACAGAACCGACTCAAAAAGTTGAGTTATATACAGTGCCTTGATAAAGTATTCATACCCCTTGAAATTTTCCAAATTTTTTGTCATGTTACAACCAAAAAATGTTAGTTTTTTTTAATTGGGATTTTATGTGATAGACCAACACAAAGTGGCACATAATTGTGAAGTGGAAGGAAAACGATAAATGGTTTTCAAAATTTTTTTTAACAAATATACTAACCACGATTGAAATTTGTTTTGAGAGCCACATTTTTAAAACTGAAAATAATCCCCCATATAGTAATTCATTCCCCCATAGTAGTGTGGCGTGTATTTGTATTCAGCTCCCTTTACTCTGACACCCCTAACTAAAATTTAATGGAACCGCTTGAATTCAGAAATTACCTAATTAGTAAATAGAGTCCATCTGTGTGTAATTTAATCTCAGTATAAATACAGCTGTACGGATTCAGGTGTTCCAATCCCCTCCATGGCCACAGGTGTATACAATCAAGCCCCTAGGCATGTAGACTGCTTCTACAAACATTGGTGAAAGAATGGGTCGCTCTCAGGAGCTCAGTGACTCCAAGCGTGGTCCCGTGATAGGTTGCCACCTGTGCAACAAGTCCTTCCGTGACATCCTTTCTACTAAATATTCCACGTTCAACTGTTAGCGGGATTATAACAAAGTGGAAGCAACTGGGAACAACAGCAACTCAGCCACCAAGTGGTAGGCCACGTAACATGACAGAGCGGGGTCAGCGCATGCTGAAGCGCACAGTGTGCAGAAGTCGTCAACTGTCTGCAGAGTCAATAGCTAAAGACCTCCAAACTTGGTGTGGCCTTCAGATGAGCCCAACAACAGTGCGTAGAGAGCTTCATGGAATGGGTTTCCATGGCCGAGCAGCTGCATCCAAGCCTTACGTCACCAAGTACAATGCAAAGCGTCGGATGCTGTGGTGTAAAGCACGCCGCCACTGGACTCTAGAGCCGTGGAGATGTGTTCTCTGGAGTGACCAATCACGCTTCTTTGTCTGGCAATCTGATGGACATGTCTGGGTTTGGTGGTTGCCAGGAGAACAGTACTTGCCTGACTGCATTGTGCCAAGTGTAAAGTTTGGTGGAGGGGGATTATGGTGCGGGGTTGTTTTTCAGGGGTTGACTTGTCCCCCTAGTTCAAGTGAAGGGAACTCTTAAGGTGTCAGCATACAAAGACATTTTGCACAATTTCATGCTTCCAACTTTGTGGGAAGAGTTTGGGGATGGCCCCTTCCTGTTCCAACATGACTGTGCACCAGTGCACAAAGCAAGGTCCATAAAGACATGGAGGAGCCAGTTTGGGGTGGAGGAACTTGTCTGACCTCAACCTCCTGACCTCAACCCCATAGAACACCTTTGGGATGAATCGGAGCAGGAGACTACGAGCCAGGCCACCTCCCCCGACATCAGTGCCTGACCTGACAAATGTGCTTCTGGAAGAATGGTCCAACCTTCCCATAGACACCCTCCTAAACCTTGTGGACGGCCTTCCCAGAAGAGTTGAAGCTGTTATAGCTGCAAAGGGCGGGGCCAACTCAATATTGAACCCTATGGACTACGACTGGGATGCCATTAAAATGTGCGTGTAAAGGCCGGCGCCCCAATACTTTTGGCAATATAGTCTGTGTCAGGCTATGACATTAGTATTGTAAGACAGAGAAAACTGATTAAGTTACAGAGTCTGTTTGCTGTGCCAATATTTTGCTTTAAATATCTGAATCTTTCAGACTGTAACTTTGTCCATTCAGGACCCTGAATGGGCAAAGTGACAAGAGATTCTGAAAGATAATCAAGAAAGAAATTTGCCATCAGAACCACCACATGATTAAAAGCTGATTTGGATTGTATAATGTAGGTGGCTGTTCACGGATTAAAGTCAGGCCCCATTAACAAAATGAAACTAAATCAGAAAGAGACACATACAAGCTTTCTGGGTAATAAAGGTAACTGCGGAGTCTGCTCTTAGGCAGAAATTTTACTTAAATCTTAACAGAAAATATATTCAATTTAAAGGAATAAAGGAAAATTATAATGGTATATTTTAGAGGTTTTTTTTTTTTTAGACATCTAAAAGTCAGTGGGATGTATTAGGCAGCAAGTAAACATGTTGTCCACGAAGTTAATGCTTTGAAATCAGAAAAATGGGCAATACAGTTTGTTGTGTATGAGGCTGCGTAGCCATAGACTGGCCAGGGTGCCCATGCTGATCCATGTCTACTGCC